ATGGTTGACTTTCTACAACTTTCTCCCATCTCCTGACTGCATCTCTGGAGCTCAGCCACAGTCATCTTTGGGTTCTTCTATACCTTTCTCACCAAGGCTCTTCTCCCCCGATAGCTCAGTTTGGCCGGACGATCAGCTCTAGGAAGGGTTCTGGTCGTCCCAAACATCTTCCATTTAAGGATTATGGAGGCCACTGTGCTCTTAGGAACCTTAAGTGCAGCAAATTTTTTTTTGTAACCTTGGCCAGATCTGTGCCTTGCCACAATTCTGTCTCTGAGCTCTTCAGGCAGTTCCTTTGACCTCATGATTCTCATTTGCTCTGACATGCAGTGTGAGCTGTAGGGTCTTATATAGACAGGTGTGTGGCTTTTCCTAATCACGTCCAATCAGTATAATCAAACACCGCTGGACTCAAATGAAGGTGTAGAACCATCTCAGGGATGATCAGAAGAAATGGACAGCACCTAAGTTAAATATATGAGTGTCACAGCGAAGGGTCTGAATACTTATGACCATGTGATATTTCAGTTTTTCTTTTTTAAATGGAGGACTCAAATGTCAAAAATTCTGTGTTTTTCTGTCAATATGGGGTGCTGTGTGTACATTAATGAGGAAAAAAATTAACTTAAATGATTTTAGCATATGGCTGCAATATAACAAAGAGTGAAAAATTTAAGGGGGTCTGAATATTTTCCGTACCCACTGTATGTGAGTTCTTTTGTGTGTGCATGCACGTGTTATAGGGATCATTAGATAAGTATCAAGGAGGAAATGAAAAAGCAGTGTCAGTCAGAAAAGCTGGTTTTTGATAAGATAGCCCCCCTTTTATTATGTATTCCTCTCCTCTCCTCATCTTGCTTGGACGTTGATATCCTCCGGCCTCAGTTATCAGCTTCACTCCTACAGAAGTGTAATTATAGGCCTGGGAGACTCCCGGTCTTGCACTACGCACACACACACACACACACACACACACACACACACACAATCCCACCCACTTCTTTTCATGCTTGTATGTTCACCTGTCATGCTGATTCTTTGCATGTGCATTTATCTTTTTGACAGCAAGCCCGGATGTCAGCTTCATCCCCAATGTTGCTGTCGCTCTGAGTTTTTGCAATTTAAATTCTGTTTAAATGTGCCTGAGTCCTGTTTCCATAATGTGGCCAGCTGGGTGTTTTCTAGCTCCATCATTTTTGACCATTTACTTCCTCCTTTTGAAAATATAATGGGCCTTTTCTTAATTTAAAAGGTTCACTCTCTTCAGCTAGGAGTTCACTAATGTGCTTTACTCCACCTTTTCTGCCATTGTCATCTCCATACCAATGGACTTGCATTGTGAGAGGCATGGTGAGGATAATGAATTGCTCTGTGGGCATCACACAGAGAGAAGGGAAATTAAGTGAATGTGTGTGTCCTACCTTGTGATGTGGTCTGTAGACAGCTGGAAGGCAATTAGCGATAATCTGGCTGCTTTTGCCTTGAGTTCTGATTCCTGTTTTGAAGTGGTGATTAGTGAAATAACAGTTCTGTCCCTGGGTTTTATAATTGAGGTGTGTTCCTATTAAAAACACAGCAGGCCTGACTGAGTGTGGACATGGTGGTCTTCAGGCTGATGAGGTATAAGAGGGTTGTTTTGAGGTAAAGATCTACTGGAACAAAAAGCCAAGGGAGTCATATCTGAGACTTTGATCAGATCAGTCAACATT